TTCCGGTTATCGTTCTGATATTTTTGGAAATGAGGAAACTGAAATCGGTCGAAAAGTAAGTTGATTATATTAATGATCCACTAATTTCTTTATATTAATTTCTTTATATACTTATACATTACAAACGTTTTTTAAAATGATTCTATGAAATAGCGTGAAAACTCTTTACGTAAACATAACTTCATTCCATTTATATACAACATTATTCGAATCTTAGCAGAGCGTGGCGAATTGGATGCACGTATAGAACATGCTAAAAAAGAAATGACCAAGAGGAAAAAGGAACGTGCAGAGAAGAAAAAAAATGCCGAAGCTTCAGGCAGTAAAAATTAATTCGTTGTATATCAACGCATTTATTCAAATATTCAATGAAATATATTAGAATTCGCTTTTTGGGTCAAATTAATTGGACTTATGAATTAAACATGATATATATATAAATGACTCATCATAGTGAAGTCGGATAGAGAATAAAAAATTATAGCTTATGTTAAGTGAATACATGTATTTTACTATATCAAGTTGGAGACTGTAATTTAAAATTCTTTATTAAATCTTCATTGGGTGTTCATTATAACGAGAGTGACAAGAATCATAAGACTTTTTGTTATTAAGGATAGGTTTAAAGGTTTTTAACACTGCTAATATCTTTATTAAAGTCAATACGTTGCTTATTTATAAAAAAAAAAAAAAAAAAAAACCATCTGTTTAAAAGTTTCAAGCAATTCTAAAAGACATGTATAGACACTTATTATTTGTTAAATTATTTTTTCCCTCGATCTTTAATTGCCAATCCAAGGATGCCACCATCATCAATATTATAATATGCCAATGATACCTGATTTTTCATTACGGCGCCTCCTATTGTGAGTTTTTGCTTTCCTGCTGGGAAATTCAATCTTGCAAAAATCTTATCTTTTACAGCGGAAACCAGCGTTGTGACCGATAAACTGTCCAAGACAATGATTTGCCCTTGACAATTCCATTCTGGCTTTTCAGATATTATTGGACACTGAATTTGTACATTTATTAATCCCTACAAAAATAATTAGATAAAATGATATAAATAAAACATAATTACAGCAAAATGAACAATAAATAATAACTTTTTAACTGATTAACCAACCAACCTGATGAGAAGCTATCCATTCTTCTTCTGATACGAGGGCTCCCATCGAAGAACTATTATCTAATTTTTGTCGTTTTGGTAGGATGCCCATATCTACTTCGTCTTCTATTGTTCGACGTGTGTTAATAAGGATAAATTACTAGAATAAACAGCACAAACGATACTGATAAATTACATACCTGGTAAAGATTGGCGATGAAGCTGGGGAATGGGCGGAATAGGTGGACGGACTTGAGAAGGTGATTGAGAAGACATAGTAACAGGTGCGATCGGTGTAATAAAACCTGGCAATTGATGTGCAAATGGCGCAGAAGACCCAACATAACCAGGATACGCGACTGGTAGAGGTCCTTGCGGTATTGGAACATTTTGCGTTGTGTGAGACGGATAACTAGCGTACATAGGTTGTTGAGCTGAAGGCATGTGTTGTTGTAACCCTTGTTGATGAATATGCTGAATTTGATGTTGATGTGAATGTTGATCTTGTAATTGTGGTATCCTTGGACCGATTTTAGAGTCGCTATCGCTAATCAATTGTATAAAAAATAGTGTCACCATAATCATAATTTTTTATAAATTGTACAATCCAAAAAACGTGTAATATTTTATATCTACCTTGTCAAGCCTTTGCTTCGATGAATTGCAGCAATTTGTTCATCGATTGAAACACCGGCCGCTGCTCGTTGAGTTGCCATGTTTATAGACGCCGTATGACCATCCCATACAACTTTTTCCTTTTCAATTCGTTTTTTCTTTTCTTCCTCTTCTCCAATCTAGCAATAACAATAGAGCCAAATGAACAAGCATTCTAATATGTTATTTGGCTATTAATTAAAAATATAATAAACTTACTTTTCGACCGATTTCAGTTTCCTCATTTCCAAAAATATCAGAACGATAACCGGAAAATGTCTTGAGAATTTTGGCAACATCCGTTCCTATAATGGCGTAAAATAATTTCAATCAAGGTTACAAAGTAGTTATACAATTATATCTGAAATGAAAGTCAAAAAAAAGAACCTTCTTGTAACAAGTTTGATTCTTTCTTCTTTGCATCTGCCGCCATCTTTTGTTCTTTCCACTTAGGATCTAACAGTTCTATACGGACATGATTTGCCATTTCGTCCACAGGAATCGCTTGTTTACATCTTGGACATATGGATGTTTGTCTCTCGGTGGTGGTTTTAGGTGCATAAGCTAATGGAATTTAATTATATAATGATAATTACATTAATAATGATTATAAACGTATTAAGTTTGATCATTTATACCTTTGGGAGTATAATCTTTAACAATTTTCATAGGAGCAGACGTATCTGGAGGTTTGATTTCGGTTACAACAGGAGCCGACTCTTGATCCTGTTCATCATCATCCGCCGCTGCTTGCTCATCCTCATCGTCTTCCATATCAACATCCTCGTCCATCTTTTAAAACAGAAAAAAAAATATTTTAAAAGTTGCACACATATATATATCTACAGTTATGAAAAATACGAACCTCCATATCAATCTCGGCTGCTTTATCTTCATGGGTTTCAACAATATTGACTGATGCCATCTTCTTTTGGGCAAGAGTCATGTTTTCCAGTTCAATGATACTCATAGGTGGAGGGAGATCAATTGTTTCGTCAGCTTCAGTAAATTCGACAGTTTCCACAATAACAAAATCATGCCAATCAATTGATGCATATGCAACTAAACAAATCATATTAGTAAACTGGCGATTACATGCAAGAAATTCTATACAAAATTATAAAATATACACACTTCTCTCTTGATCTTCTTTTTCTTCCGCTTTTTTCCTTTCTTCTTCTTGATATGCAGCGTATTCGAATCTTAGCAGAGCGTGGCGAATTGGATGCACGTATAGAACATGCTAAAAAAGAAAT